AATGAAGAGAGGGAGAGGGAAGAGGAAAAGGAAAAGGAAACAAGAAGAGAAGAGGGAAGAGAAAGGATGAGGGTCAGTAGCAGAACCAAAGGTCCAAAAGGAGCATCTTTAATTTAATTTTAAAATGGGTATTAAGTCCCATGTTTGATTTAGGTTTGTTCATATTATTGCCACATGTTGACAGCTATGTGTTTTTAATCACAGCACCATCTTGAATGTGTTTCACTTCTCTCTGATCGTCTACTACCTAGGGTCAACCAGAGTCTAAGAAAAGGTAAAATAGAGGGGTGCAAAGGATATGCAGGGTGAGAATGCATAAGAGTGAGGAGTATGGGCTCTGGCATCAGACTGCAGGGTCTGAGTCTAGGTTTTGTCACCTACTAGTTCTGTGACCCTCCATACATTGACTTAACTGCTATACAACTCAGTTTCCTAACTCGTGAGGATGAGTTGTAAAGACTTAATGATACAAGTAAAGGAGCTCAATATGATTAGTATGTAAGAGACTCTTCCTCTTTGGAGAGACACAAACCACATGAGAATCTTATGGGTATTGGAGGAAGGGGATATGCCCACACACACATTTCAGAGAATTATGCAAACAATTTCAGGAGGCTCATGGATCACTAACCCTTAAGTTAACAGTCCGTGAACCAGATAACCTCTAAAATCCCTTCTCCTGCAAAAGCCTGTGACATGAGCAGCTCAGAAACAAGCAATGAGGAATTTCTCTAGGCTTTAGGAGAAGCAAGGCCAACTACATCTGGGATACCTATGACTTTTATTTGATTGGCAGGAATCAATCAAATGAATATAGGGAACACAGCCAAGGCCACAAGTTCAAAGGAAATCAAGACAAAGTAAGACTCTGCTACGGACTGAACTGTGTTCTCCACAAAACAGACATGTTAAAGTCCCAACCTCCGAAGTGATGATATTTGGAGATAGGACCTTTGGGAGGTAATTGGGTTTTGATGAGGATGGGGCCCTGATGATGGAATCAGTGCCCTTATAAGAAAAGGCACCGAAGAGTTCGCTCTCTCTCCCCTTTCCATGTGAGGACACAGGGAGAAGGTGACCTTCTACAAGCTAGGAAAATACACCACACCAGAACCTGGTACCCTGATCTCAGACTTCCAGACTCCAGAACTGTAAACAAATAATAATAATAATAAATTTCTATTGTTTAATCCATCCAGTCCAGTATTTGGTTATGGCAGTCCAAGTGTAATAACAGAGACTCTGCATTCAGAACGATAGTGACAGGATACTGCAGAGGCATCCAAAGGGCCAGAAAACAGCCTGCTTCCTCACGATGTGATAAACACAGTGGGCTTCACATGAAAAATACCGCCTTATCCCAAGTGCCCAACAAACAACATTTTAAATTATAACCTAAACAGATTTACTTTTTCACATGCTTCTAATAGTTAAAAAAATTATTGTAAAAAAAATTATTGTAACAAAAACTTCACCTGTACTTTTTCTACTCACTCCAGCTAACAAAGATAAAAAAGTAAGAGGCACCAGAATATGAAGGAAAATTACTTGGGAGTGAGGAGTTCTTGATTTCACAACTGATTCTCCACAGCCAAACTGAGGGACCTTACAGTTTTAATTACCAATGTTTCTTCATCTTTCATTCATCAAGTCATGTTACTCTCCTTTCAAAAACATCTGCATCTTAAAAGAAGTTCAAACTGATTGCTGATTTTCATAATCTGCTCCCGGATTATATTTCCAACTCCTTTTACCATAACGTCCCCCACAGGCCCTACTCTGTAGACCCAGTATTCGACTTTCAACCTCTCAAACACAGCCCACACTGTCTTAAGAAGGTCTTTCTCTCACCTCACCCTAATGCATCATTTGGGGGTGAACTTCCTTCCATTCTCCAGCCATCAAAAACCTACTCATCACGTGACAGCATGGATAAAACTGGAAAATATTACAGTAAGCGAAAGAAGCCAGTCACAAAAGTGTGTGGCTGTATTTATACGAAATGTTCAGGCTGGGCAGCTCTACAGAGGAGGAAGTATATGAGCGGCGGCTCAGGGCTAGGTGAAAGGCGATCTGGGGAAAGGAGTGACTGCCAATAGGTACAGGGCTTTTTTTTTTTTGAGGTGATGAAAATGTTCCAAAATTGATTTCAGTGATGGTTGTGCAACTCTGTGAATATAACCAAAACCACTGAATTGTAGACTTTGAGTTAACTGTATGACATATGAATTAGATCTCAGTAAAGCTATTATTTAAAAAGAAAAAAGTTTCCCATCCAACTTGGCTCTTCAAATGCTGTACAAATTGATTCTCCCCACACCCATCAGAATTAAAATCCTTCAACTGAGCCCCTCAGCAAGTCATTTCTACCTCTGGTCAACATATTTCATTCTGGCTGGCAACGTAATTATGTTGCGTTATCCCCACGTCTGCTTCCCCTAATAAACTATGAGTGCTTTCAGAAAAAAATAAACCTGTGTCAGACATTTCCAGGCCCAGGCTAACTAAGAGGTTCTTGACGCACGGTAGGAAAACGCACCCAGTCTTGGCTTGGCAAATAGAGGGAGGTCAGGACTGGAGTCCACTTACCCTCCTGCCTCGAACACGGCCTAATCTGCACGGCAGTAACCAGCAGCTGTGCTCTGTCCTTCTCCTTCTCACCCCCGACAGTCCAGTAAAATATGTGACCCAAGGGAGGCACTCCAAACAGATAAATAAATTCATGCAGAATGAAAATGATACATCTGAAACCATTTCTTAAAATTAGACACTCCCAGATTCCAGGAGAAAGCTCCAGGCATTGCTATTTCAGTTTTTCTCTACCTGTTATTTATTTTTGTGTTACTTCACAAAGACATGGAAAGTGTTTTTCTTACTAATTGGATTCAAGGACTTTAGGTGTACATATGAAATACAGTGAATTATTTTAACACATTTAAGAAGTAGTAAGGAAAACAGAGAAGTTTTTTTTTTCTCTTAAGTCAATTTACAATTACTAAACCAGGTCACGAAACTATAAAAGCCCACCATTTATAGAGGGAAATAGCAAGAAAATATTCTGAAAGAAGTTTATCATCAACTCCGCTTTTAAAACGTTCCTCTTCGTCTCAACTTCCGCAGCCCTTGAGCTGAGCATTGATCATTTTCTACCTTACATGAGAGATGTCTGTCCTAGCCAGGCCCCTCCACCCCCTGTGCCCAGCTTCCCTGGCTAAATTCTACTTCTCTAGGGATGGCATACCTTGCTAGGCCAGGGGAAAGCCTGTTAAATATTCCACCACACCCTGCACCTTTGCTTTACAGCACCTATCACAGTCATAATAACACAACTGTCTACGAAGTTGTGAATGTGGTAGTTGTCACTCCTGGACCAGAAGTCCTGTGATGAGAGGCCTTGTATCTTTCTGGTATCCACAGCTCTGGTTAAGGGCCTGGTACCTGGTCGCGGTGGGCACTCAGAAACCATTTGACTAAACTAGTGAGTCTTCCTCCTTCAAAGTATTAGGTCCTTATAAACAGGGATGGCGTCTAATTCACTTTGGTATCACAATGGTGTCTGATAGTAGGTTATACCACAGAATTCGTATGTAGATGAATGAGTAAATGCACTCCAGAGTGGGTCACCTATGGGGACTGGAGAGACTAGACACTGGAGAGGTGTGCTAATGGTAAAATAAGCACGCTGAATGGCTCATGAGTTAAAGGCAACCCTTCAGCAAAGCCGCTCCCAGTAAGAGATCTTGGAACAGCACCACACAAACAAGGAAGGCAGAATCAGAGGTGGCAGACGTCCACAACCGAAGATTTACGGCCACTTCCTTGGGCTGTAAGAGTCAATCTTCTCCCAGTTTCAGTGCGTGTGACCCCTTCCCAGATGCAACTGGGCTACAAATCTTGGGTTGTATCCAAGCAGAGCCAGAGAAAACCAGGCCTTCAGAAAAATAAAACAACAGCAAAGCCTAAACAAGCTGAAAGAGCCAGAAGAATCCGGTAGAGCGTCTTCAACCAGGACTCACTCAGGCAAAGTTAAGGAGAGCATGCAGGCCACGCACAAAACAGACTGCGACTTGAAACACGTATCCCCTGTGGAGGCCTGAACTCACGGCAACCTCAACTGGCTTCTGACGTGAAAAGGTCGCTCTGTCAAACATAGTTTCAGGAAATGGCAATGGCAGGGGTTCCTGAGGGGTTCAAAGAAGCTAAGGTCAGGCAGAAGACAAATGGCACACATACAGGGGGACACTGCCATTGGCCAGACACTGGAGACACATCCCAGCGCTGAAAACCTGCAATCAAGACGCTGGGAATCTAACTGTGGAGTCAAATCACAACCACCACCAAAAACCTCAAGAGCTAAATGATAATCACGAAGCTGATTAGATGAGGAGTCTGACAGCATGACACACCTGGGACTGCCATGATTCTGGGACCCAGAGCAGGGTTTGAATCCCAGCTCCACCACTCACCAGCAGTGCAGCCTTGGGAAAGTTTCGTAAGCTCTCTGGGCTTATGTGTGTCCACATCTGTAGAATGAAGATGATGAGAGCCCTCAGTTTAAATGTGAGCTCTGATTACTGATCAGCAACTGAGCCTATACGGGGCAAAAGAAAACTGCCTAACAGAATCGCAAACACCAGAACAGAAGGGCCCTTACATTCAACCAGAGTTCAAGTGCTTCTTCTACAAAAAGTACAACTCAGGCCCAGGGAAGGGAGAAACGTGCCCTGAGTAAACCAGCGAGTAAATCGCCAGCCGATCCAGGTAGGCAGCCAGGCCTGCTGATTTACGATGTCAGGTGCTGGTCACAAACACATAGAGCTGCTGTCAGAATTGTGAGCTAATCGATGTACAAGGCTTAACATGGTACCTGACTCAATGACAGCAGCGTGGATGTGCTTGCTATTATTATTGCTTACCCGGTTGCTATAATTATGCTTACACATACTTACAGGGTGCTTCATAGTCTACAAAAGGCTTTTTATATCCATTATCTCATGTAATCCGCACAGCGCCAGGAATCATGATTCCCCAGGCCCCAGTGAAGAGGTTGGGTCAAATGAAGCTCACAGAGGGTTCTCCGTTTTCCCAGGATCCCCTAGCTAGTTAACAGAGAAGTGCAGCCCAGAACCCATATCCTCCACTTCTGAGTTACTGCCGGTGCCTTCATGTGACACCACACCACAGATACCAGCAGCACCAGATCCCAGGCGCCATCGTAGCTTTGTAAAGGGGCGGGGGGGGATTTCCTAAGATATCTAACCACCAAATCCTTTCAGCTAAAGGAGAAAACTCAAAGGCAAAAGAGTGTCATTTGGCTTTTGCTACAGCTGGGCGAAACCTAGCAGGAATGTCTTCCTTGGAGCTGGGTTTTCTTTCCTGTCTTTGAAGCGAGACAGCCCTCCTGCTGAAGACACGGCAATGGAGACAGAAGAGAGAGGGGGAAGAGAGGGGACGGGAAGACACGAGAAACAGCCACGCGGGGTGTGCAACGATGCCGCATCCCTCAGGCGTCTGGCGACGAGCCAGTTCTCCTGATGCTGAAACCCCGAACACCACCTTGCGGTAGTGACTCAAATAAGGCAAACAGACTAAACAAGTGTGGCGTGACTCTCTCTTCAACATAGATTGAAGTGAACTGGTTTCTCAAGTGAACAGCATCAAAGAACCGGCCTGAGGTGGGTGAAGTTCTTTAAAAGAGGAGACAGTCAAGGGTCTTCTTACCTCGAGGGTGAAAGAGGTCCTAATTACGGGCATCTATCATCTGGGGACGTCCACATCTATCCAACCACCTACCGTCTAACCAACAGAAGCAATTAAGTCCTTTGTTTTTAACGCAGTGTACAGTTAAAAAAAAAAAAGCTGTACTGAATGTAAGTCAGTAAGTGAGAGGTCTGACTTCAGTTCTGGTTTCATCACTAGCTAGTAAAGAGGCCAGAAAGGTCGCTGAAGCCTTCTGGGCCTCTAGTCCCTCATCTGTCAAGAACAGGCATGGACAAGATCAGCAAAGGGCCCTTCCAGCATTAAAAAAAAAAGTGCTAATACCCTAAATAAACAAACAAACAAAAATGTCATGATGGTCAGGCCAACTGTTTCAGAAAAGTTAAAGAAAGCATTGTTTCCTCCACAAGCCCCGGTTTTGAATGCAAGAAACATGTCAGTTTAAACTCACCCATATTCATGCCTTTGATGGTGAAAAAGTCCACCACCAAAAGCCAACAAAGTTTTGCTTAAAAACAAGCTATTTTCAGGAACAACTCTCTTGAGTTAAGGCCCTAATTCACAAAACGGGGTTTGGCTTGTATAACACTGCCTTCTTTCTGTAATTATTAGGCTCTAAAAAATTTTTGTGTTTTTTTTTTTCCCTCCTGACAACATTTCATTTGAAAAGTGTTTGATCCTGAAATAAACCTGTAATTTCTCCTATGGAGAAGGGAGACAAGGTGGACGTCTATAGTTTAGCCCAAATAACTTTATATTTCACATAAGATTATTACAAGATGACAGATGTGAACCTTAAGAATTTTAACAATAAAACCATGTTATCCAAAGAATGTTCCACAGAACACAAGTCTGGAAAATCATCCACAAAACAGTTCCATGATAAAATAAATTTGACAAAACCTGAATTTAACATAACAGAAAGGAATGTTGTGGTTATTTTGTCTTTACCTATAGGTCTTCTCAGTTAATCTTGCTAAAGATGGGTGAAGAATACTCCAAATGGAGATTGCTACAAAAGCAACTGATTTCCAAACTGATTTGACTGTTTGTGGAGCTAGGATCGCAGGGAGCACATTTTAGGAAATGTTGCCAATGGATTATAACAGGACGTGGCTTTATCCCTGACAGCAACCCTACCCCGGCAAGGTAAGGTCTACAATTCAATTAGAAACTTGTATGTTTAACTCCATCTTTATCTACACCAGATTTTATAATAGATGCAACTGTAACCAACTTAAAACTTTGACAATGTAATTTCTATTTCTTGAGACTGTCTTGAAAATATAGGAGCCTCAGCCCTGGAGGGCTGGATTTTCCCTGTGCTATGGGTACACTCTGTGATGTTACACAATGTTAAGGGGAACTTTCTCCTCTGTCTTTCTCTCTTTTTCTTTGCAATTATTCACAGGTTTAACGTAGAATCAATTTTCTTTAAGGCAGAGAAACAAATGAGAAAATACCAGGCAGAGAGAAATAACAAGTACTTGGCTGTATACCACAGTATTTGTCTGGGGGCCTCAATTTTCTCACGTTGAGAATGAGGTAAGTAGATTTCATGGTCTCACATCTCATGATTCTAAAGCTTTTTTGGGTGGCTCATCATTATCTCCAAAGGCAATTCCAAGGATGCTCTGAGCAGTGGGAGCAACTTAGAAAATGCTCCCTGTGCTGGAACAGCACCCCCACAAGGAGCACTGCTCGGATGACTATACTACATGCATCTACACGTTCCAGGCTGTTGGCTAAAACTCCAGTCTCATTACTTTGCAACCATGCCACATAATATTTGGCCAGCAACGTGCACATTATGGTGTCTCATCAGGTCACTTGCTAAAAGTAAATTTAAAACCACCTTGACATGGCAGAGAACTGATACAGAGCAACCACACTATTGGAATACACTCACCAACCAGCCCAGGGTTGCTGGTGGCGTCCCGACTTCTATTGACCTCCTACAGCAAAGGCATTTAAATACCCAGATCTACTGCCGAGCATATAATGTATTCCAGGAAATACTCTCTTGCCTAACCCCATCCAGATTTATTTTTAAGGACAGAGGACAGGGTGTTTTTTTATTACTAACTCCTTAAAAAAAAAGGGGGGGGAGTAACACTTTGATTTTTTTTTTAAAGCAAAAGCACTTATATCTCCCCTACAAGTGATCTGAGAAAGAGCAAGAGCACACAGTAGCCTTCATTATAATCCCTCTACAAATATCCAACATTTCCTGCCTTTGTCTCTCCTATTCTTCCTCTCTTACCTCCCCTTGAAAAGACATTTATTAGAGAGCACAGGGGGTTGGCCGCCCTGTCCAGTTTTTAGACAAGACCTGTAAACTATGAAAGCCTCCTCACACACTCACTGGCTTCCCAATCAAGGTCCCATCTGCAGTAACAGCTCTCCAAAGGGCTGGATGGTGGCCGGGGGTCAGCACGAGGGAAATGCGGACAAACCAAGTGCGACTCATACCCTTCACTTAGCCTGGGAAGTCTTTTTCCCCTTTCTGTATGGTCAAATTCCACTCAGCATTCAGGTCCCAGATCAAGTCCCTCCTCCTCCAGGAAGACTTCCTTCATTTTCTCTACATTTGCCTCCACCTCCATCCAAAACTAATGTCTCCCTCCTCTAACAACCACAAACTCCTTAATGAGACCTCTGGATATTTCAGGATACTCTCCAAATATCTTCACTTTTATTGGAACTATCTCTAGTCCATCTCCAATAAAAGTTATCTGCAGTAACTTTCATCAATTCCAATCTCCTGTTCAAAAAATCCCTTAAGGGCAGAGACTGGGTCTGGGTTAGTTCATCGACTATAAAGATAAAATCTGTCTAAAGAAAGAATTAAGAGAAGCATATAAATAATTATCATACATTAATGACTCTATAAACGACAAAAAGACAGGGATAGATGAAGGATCCCAGGCTAGAAGTTAAGCAAGTCCACATCAGATATGTACTAAAGACTTGCACACACAGAACAATACATTGCCTTTAAAGAAAATGGAGGCAGCTAACATTAACTGAGTATCAGCTATGAGGCAGGTAGAGCCTGAAACATTTTCTAGGTATTAACTCTCATATTCCTCAGAGCAACCTTGAAAGTAAGTACTGTTTTTGTCTCCATTTGATAAGGGGATGAAGATGAGCTGCAGAGAGCTCACACAATGTGCCCAAGCAAAGAGGAGAGCTGGCTTCAGACTTCAGCAAAGAGATTTGAGCTAATGTGCTTGACTACCGCGCTCTACTGCTTCTGCAAAAGGAACAGGGATGTACTTTCCAGAACCCAGTCAAAGGAGGGGTTCTTGCAACAGGGCCCAAGAAGTAACATCATATCAGTAAGGAAAACTTTAAGGGTAAACGTCATATTCTGGATGTCTGTACCTGCATTCATAGAAAGGTGACACTCTTGGAGTTTGAAAGGAAAAGACGAAAGCCACCCATCGGGCTGTAGCTTTTTCTAATTTACCTGACTTCCTCAAACGGGAACTTACTCACTCTTTGCTGAGGGCAGTGAGGCTGAACTTCTCGTTGCTCTGTTATTTTGTGAGTGAAAGAAATGGGGTCGTTACCTTGCCTGTTAACATTCGACATGCTTTGTGATGATTTGGCCAGTATTTTCCTCCCAGAAAAGGTTAAAGGCCTTTTAGCAAAAAAGTGGATGTGAAAAATCAAACTTAAAGATGAAAGGGAGCATCTTGTGGCCAATCTTAACGATACTTAATTCTCAGATGAGGAATTCTGTAGTAAACAACCTCTTGATTCGGTGCAAAACATTTTTAATTTCATGCCCTGCTAATCACACAGCTGTTAAATTTCCCTTCCCATCAGTTGTAAAAAAATAAATAAATAGATAATAATTGTAATAATAATTTAAGAAACAGTTGGACCTCAAACAAAATTTGAGCCCTAATGAATTTTCCCATCTGGAATTAATAAAGTAGTGAATGTTGAAATTGCCTGGATTCAGTTGATATAAACTTACATTATTATAAGTATCAAAATATAAGGTTCTGAACATCAAAAGCTTCTAACATGCCAGCCACAGAATGTAAAGTCAATCTACATTGCATTCCCAGACAAGTCTGGCACCTGATGTTTCATTCCAAAGATTTTAACAACCTGTTTCCTTTGGCTGTGACCTTATCTCCTCTGGGCCACAATAGGCACTAGATGCATGTAAGTATTGCCTAGACTAGGTGTTAGGGCTTAGCAATCCAAGCCTGGAGAAGAGACAAATCAATGTCTTCATACTGCAAGCACATCAATCCAATCAATACAGGGAAATTTTTTTAAAGGCCATCGTTAATGCTGCAAATCAAAACAAGAGCTGAGGATGGAAGGGGGTTTTCAAATAGTTGGGGACCAGAGAAACAGGTGATCCAAAGTAGTATGATATGTAACAAGGGGGAGTCAACTTTGCAGGAGAGAGTGATTATGACCAGGAAAGAAAATGCCAGCAAGGAAGTGGTAAAAAGGAATACCCTGTAAAGAAGGAGGAGACAAATATACTAAAGGAAACAAAATAAGCATAGCCAGATGGACCAGAATGCCAGTAGAGGATCTTCAAAGATCTTCCATTTCTGTGCTTCCACACCTTTCCCATAACTTCAGCTGTAAAACATTACAGAAAACACCCAGAGTACTAACATACTCTTTCTTCACCTGGCTTGCTCAGACCTACAGTTTCATTGCCGAAATCCTTTCAGTTCTTCAGGGTGTGCTCAAACACCACCTCATTCAGGAGTCCCTCCCCCATGCACACATCCACTGAAACCCTCCTCCGGGTTCCCACAGCATGCCACCTGTACCTCTCCTTTGTCACCTAAGCTGTTTTGCTTTGTAAAACAGCTAGTTATGCATGTGTCTGTGTTTGGATTGTATGCTCCATGAAAGAAAAAATTACATCTAACTGTATTCTTAGTCCTCAGTGCCAGGTCTAGGCTTTTCATAGTAGGCGCTTAAGGAATAGATATGCTATCTTAAGAAAACCTAGAAGAAAACATTTCCTGTCTTAGGTATTCTTATTACAGAAAACAGAAATTTAAGGCCCTATAAATTCATCCACTAGCAATCATCCTACAAACCCCTGTAAGTGACAACCACTATTAATATTGCATCAGTCTTCTCAAATTTACATGAGTTCAGAATATGAGCACAATTTTCATAATCGTTATCACTGTCTATCTGAAGAAAAAGTATGATATAAATGCACACTGCTTTTCTGACGTAAGCAAAGGTTCACAACTGTTTGTGTGAAAATCATTTCCAGGAACTGAAAAGAGCCTTCCTGAAATCTCAGCATCACTTCAGCCCCATCCTCCACTCCACATCTCACTAAAACCAACAGCATTTCCTTCATGTCTCATCATTAATGATGAAGTGAATGAGTCAAATGCACAAAACAAACAAAACACCAACAATAATTTACTGTGAACATCACTGCATTTGTATAGCACTTTATATAGCCATTCTCTCATTTGATGCTTTCCATGAGCTTCTGTAAGAGGAACAGAATAATTATTTTAGAGATGAGGAAACTCCACTCTGTGAGATGTGATTTGCCCCAGAGCACACAGTTCATAAGAAACTATGAGAAGATGTTAATTCAGGATTTGTGATTCTCCATCCAGACTTGTGTTCATGCATTCAACGTTGTCTCTCTTACCTAAAGTGTTTAAGCAGACATAAGAAGTTGATAATGGAGGTGCATAGACTTACATGAATGAGAAGTTATCTAATTCAGATAGGGCATTGGATGGGTTCCATTAGAATATGAAAGAAAGAGAGAAAGAAGGAGAGGAGAAGAAGAAGAAAAAAAAAACCACTTTGGGTAAAGACAGTTAAATTTCCTGGAAAACAGGGGTCTTGAACTGTAGTTTAGAGGCATACTAATCAAAGTGAGCCCACAAACTGACACTTTCAGAGTCATCTCAGAGCTTGTTAGAAATACAAATTCTCCCACACTGTTCTCAGACCTCCAGGACCATAATCTCTGAGGCTGAGAACCCCTAGGTAACTCCAAGCAAATCAAGTTTGAAAAGTGTTGCTTGAAAGTTAAGGTCAGACCTGAGCAAATAACAAGAAGGTAACAGGCAGGTTCCAGAAAAATGAAGGCTCGGGGGGATAACATTAAAAATTAGGAGGCCCAGAGTCCAGAAAACTCAAAATATGTCAGCGAAGAAGATCCAGAACAACGGGCTAGAGAGAGGGAATCCTGTAAAGGACGGGTCTGAATGCAGTTCCGATGAAGTCACCCAGTAGAGAAGGTTGAAAGCAGGCAGCGTAGTGCAGCTCTAGAGGCACCTGGCCTGAGGTTTGACTCTTGGGAGAGAGCATGTAGACCTGAGGAACAAAAGCATTATGCAATCCCAGGACAAAAGGCCCCATGGGGTTCAGACAGTCTTCAGAGGAGAGCCTCTTTTACAACCTGGAGAAACACAAGTTCACCAGACAGACAAGGGCAGAAAGCAACAGGGGCACAGTTCCAAGATGTAAAACAACACGCTCTATTCAGCACCAGTGAGGCACCCTGGA